GACAATTGGCTTTTCTACTCCAAGTCTCTAATAGAGACTTGACTGACCAGGAGTAATTAAGACAATAATCTATAATATAAAATAAACGATAAAATATTATTATAATAACAGTGTTGATATATTATGTTTATCAATAAATATAATTTTACTTCATAAAAATGTTTGTAATCAATAATAAAAATTTTATAGCAATAAAATCCAATCCTCTGTTGGCTTAACTTCTCGATCCATGAAAGCAACTAAAATAAAACTAATTTATTAAATAATAACAAACTTAAAATGAATTATATTTTATAATTATAAAAGTAATATGCTAAAATATCCATATTAACAAATAGGCAATCAAAAATGTTTTTGTGTTTTTTAACGTACTTAACGAACATTTATATAAAAAAATTTAATTTCTATTAAAAATAACATGTAGAAATATTTTAAAATGACAAGTTTAGAATTTATACTGTATTATTTAACACAATTTAAATTATTTACCTTTAATTTGCTAAGGGCATTTAGTCGTAGATGAAAGACAAACATTAAATTCAATAATTTATACATGTTCGCATTTTGGTAAACTATTTGCGATGCTATTGTCAGAATTATGCAAAATATAATTAACCATAATGTTGTGCAATAGACAAATGTAACTTTAATTAATATATGCAAATTGACATAAACATTTACATAGAGTGTTATAGTGATGAATACAATATTTATCGAGATTAAAACCAATAAAAATTTTGACCAAATATTTCCATTAAAATCCATTATCTCTTTATGACATGAATTTATCTTGATCATAAGTTTTCTAACTGTTAATGTAATGTTTTTACCATCATTTGTCAATAATAATCCCTTTATTTCGTTATTAATGCATTTAATCTTAATATTTGAATAATATGTTAATATATAAACAGTAATTATTTGATGAACAAAATGATTGCCTAACATATATCCGATATACATGTTAATTAAACTCCAGAACAATGTGGCTAATAATACAATTAAACTAGCATTTAGGTAGTTTATTAAATACACAGTGAATAGTATAACAGCAAACACGACGCCGACCATGGTGAAAGTTGACACCACTTGTCCGCAATATTTTAATAATAATTTTGAAATCTTAACTAATTTGTGGACATCATTGGCATCCGTGAGACCAATACTTTGAGGTGATATCAAACCAGACATCATATCAAATGGTCTCATATATGTTGGCCTAATGTCTGCCTTACGATCGCAAAAGTGAACAAATTGTGATAACAATACAAATAGCGCACAATATATAAGCCATAGGTTTATGTGATATTTAACGCCAATAAAGTACGGAAAGTCACCGATTAATAGATAAGTTTGTTTGTCATTGAAATCAATGTTAATTACAATAATTGAACGAAACAAATACATTAAACATACGACAAAATTTAATATAGGATTTGATATCAAATGCCGTTTAGTGTCGCAAAAGTTATGCCAAGAAATACCGTAACGATATAAATGGGTTCCCGCGGAGGAAATCACCAAATGTGTTAATAAACATTTTGAAACATCTAACTCGGTGTTTAATCGCTTTGTTTTTATCATTTTAAATTATATTTTGAATCAAATATAATGTGGTCTCTAAATAAGTTATGATAAAATGTTTGGGGAATTATGTTAATTGATAAAATATATAATAATATAGAAATGTTAATTATTCACGGGCATCTCAATTAAATTACAATTTATCTACAATGAAAAGTACATTGGAACAAAAGGAACAAAACTAATTAAGTCAATTTTTAATTGTGTCTGTGTAATTGAAACCTCATTATATACAATAATTATTAAAATTACACAAGTACACTGGCTACAATAATTGTTGCCCTTGTTAATTATTCACTAGAAATAAGAAATTATATTATCACATGCCACAGTACATGAACTACATAGTACATGCTATGTAGAAATTAATTTGGTTATACTTTTAATTAAATTTTTTATTAATAATGATGGTAAATAACAGAGAATTAATTGCACAATATCAGCATGTTATTCATTATGTCTGCATCTCAATAAAATTTTAATTATTTAGTATGATACTTGAATCGTTTTCATTAAAAAAGCCATCATTAAAACAAGAATCTATGTAAATAAAAACAAGAATCTATGTAAATAAAAACAAGAATCTATGTAAATAAAAACAAGAATCTATGTAAATAAAAATTGTATTTAAACTAACGTATTTCAAAATAAATAAAGTACCTCATAAAAGTGTTTGTAATCAATAATAAACAATTTATGGCAATAAAATCCAATTTTCTCTTGACTTAATTTTTCAATCCATGAAAGTAACTAAATATAAAATCAACCATCAAGTCAATTAATAACAATTATAATTAAATGGTAAACAATTATTAATAAATAAAAACTTTAAATAATAATACCTTAATTTTTATGTGATACCCAGGAACTAATTGGGACATAAATAATTTAATTAGCAATTTATAAGTGTGTTTAATCTCGTAGACTATTTGTGATGCAATATTTAACAGTACGAGAAATATGGATAGCCATAGAAGTGTACAGTAAATGATAGATAATTTGAGATAAATATTCATTTCGACAAAAATATTTATATATAAAGTAAACGTAAAGAATGCTATATTTATGCTAATGAAAATCAGCATATATTTTGACCAAACATTTGCGTTCATTTCACTGATCTCTTTATGGCATGAATTAATTCTCACGAGAAGTTCCCGTAAATTCCGGGCATTTGTCTGCCGTTTTGTGTTACCATTCAATAACCGCTTAATACTATTGTTAATACATTTAACTTTAATTCTAGCGTAATATATAACTAAATATACATAGATTGTTTGATAGATAATTGAATGACCGAGAATATAACCGACATACATGGTCACAAAAGTCCAGAATAATACAGCCCCGATATAAAGCAAATAATTATGGTAACAAAATGCCAAACATGGTGATAACATTATTAACGCAAAACCAAACGATACAATACCAAACGTATGAATAACTGGCCCGGAGTTTGATATCAATAAGTGAAAAACCTTAAGTAATTTGTGGACATCATTGGCATTAGTGATGCCTATACTTTGAGGTGATCTCAAACCAGACATCATATCAAATGGTCTCAAATAGGATGGCCGACGGCAGTCCATAAAGTGTACAAATTGTGTTAATATGACAAACACGTCGACAATCGCCAGAAATATGTTTGTGTGATATTTGGCGCCAACGAAGTAAAAGTAATCGCCGATCAATAGGTATGCGGTCTTGTCGGCGGCCGTTGTGGTCATCGCAACGCAATGTCGGCTCAGATATATTGCGGTGATTATAATGTTAACGATTGGTTTGAAAAGTGGCTGACGTCTGACCCCTGGGTAACCATACGGTGCGATCCCATACCGGTATAAATGCATTCCCGCCGATCCTATGACCAGTTCTGTCGGCAGACATAACTCTAGGTTAAGTTTGACCATAATTATAAAACTTCAGACACTATTTACAGAAATATTATTTGCTTTTTATTACTATTTTTTCTTATATATAAATGCTGTGTTGCATTTATTTTTGGATTATTAATTAATATCGTTGTTTTAACAAGTATTTCTGTACCAAATGAACATGCTATATTTAATATAACTTATGTTTGCTAGGAAAATATACATTAATTCAAACAGAAACCTATGCTTTATTGTGAAATATTTGTTGTAAACATGATATACGTTGGTCAATAATGTATATTATTGTTGCATTCATTGCAATATTAATTACAAGTTATACTCTGCGACATTATTTGTCAAGTTATATTGTAACTTTAATTCATAATTTAATAATCTACCAGTGAAGTATGCATATAACAAAGAAAAACATGTTAATGTTGTAAATTATTAATAATAAATATCCCTACTATTGTGTATTCTAATATTAATTTAGAAATAGTATCTTTAATAAAAATAGATGTACAGTATGTAATGTTAACATATACATATTAATTGAAAATTTATTCATAACTCGGGTGTTTATCATATTGGCATGATCAATCTATCGCTGGAATACTCATATCGTGGCCACACTCTGCATATACTAAATCTATTGGGATCAAGGTTTACCCAACTTGGTAGTAAGTTAGTTTAATAACATTATATTTAAAATTAATTTGCCATTTTTATATACAGTACTGTATAATGTTGTAATGACAGAGTTAATCTGTTGAGTAAATCTATAAGTTACGTGTAAAGTACATAATAATATTATACATATTATAGCATGTATAATATATTTTTATTATGATGTTCCCAAAACATATTTACACTATTAACTTCACTATATCAAGTGATTAATAACAAAACTGACATGTTTGAATAATTCACCTCAAATAATGTAAACATACAAGGTTATTGTTTGAAATTAGTTTATTAACATTAAAATTAAGAGCCGTGTGTATACACACCGCCGCCGTCTATAACAATATTAGCGCCGGTTATAAACGCGGCGTCGGGTGAGGCCAGGAATGCCACCCCTTTGGCGATATCCAGGGGTTGACCCACTCTTCCCAATGGATTATGCGGTGCGAAACTGTCCAACAGTTGTGTTGTTGTTAAACTGGCCGAAAGATGGGTTTGAGTACCACTTAAGCTACAATTAGTTAACAAAAATTTAAATCACACATTAAAACACAAATAATAATAAAAAAACATAATTAATTCAAAGACAATATATACTCGATTGTATTGACGCGAATGCCTTTGGGGCCCAACTGCAGGGCCAACACTTTGGTCATCATCTGAACGGCCGCTTTGGCACAACTGGACGCCAAATTGTGCGGATACTAAATATTATTAAATAAAATACAATTAATTATATACACCTAGCTAATATTCTATCAGGTTTTTAAAATGTAAAATTACCGGTATAAGTGCCGAATCGCTACCAATGGCTATAATAGTGCCGTTTGTTTTCTCCAGATAGGGTACCGCCAAATGGTTGAGCTGTACCGACGATCTGAGATCGGTGTTAAAAACAAAGTCCCACGTGTCCATGAGGTTCGGGTCCGTTATGTCAAGGTTGGGATTTACGCCCACATTATTTACCAATATATCTAACTTTCCGTACGCTTTGATCGTTTCGCTCAATAGTCTGTTCAAGTCGTCCGTTTTGGTCACATCGGCCACCACTCCCANCCAGATAGGGTACCGCCAAATGGTTGAGCTGTACCGACGATCTGAGATCGGTGTTAAAAACAAAGTCCCACGTGTCCATGAGGTTCGGGTCCGTTATGTCAAGGTTGGGATTTACGCCCACATTATTTACCAATATATCTAACTTTCCGTACGCTTTGATCGTTTCGCTCAATAGTCTGTTCAAGTCGTCCGTTTTGGTCACATCGGCCACCACTCCCAACGGCTGGAGGTATTTATTTTAATTAATTAATTGATAATTCATTTTAAAAACTCAATTAAAACATTACTCACAAGTATTTTATATGGAGATAACGGCTGCAACTCTTTGACAACTTTGACCACTTTTGGCGCGTTACGTCCGTTGACCACCACTTTAGCCCCCAATACGGCAAACAGTTTGGCGATACCTTCGCCTATACCAGAGCTCGAACCAGTGATTAGCACTACTTTGTCGGTAAAATTACGCGATTGTATCACATCTTTGTAGTGTTGAATATCAAAATCGTAAACATTAGTTGCATTTACTATTGATAATAAGGCTAACAATAATAAGCATTTCATTGTCAACTGTTTTGTTTAATTTATATTAACTTGTAATTAATATTAGTTATAATTTATTTTGTGAATAATGAGAAAACAACTTGCTATTTATATATTGTTCTAATTTGTAATTTAAGATTATTTAAGATAAATGGGATTAACATGAAGGATATGCAACTGTTATTTTTAATTGTAATTACTTTAGATAATTAATTGTTTTACAAATTGCACTATCCCACATTAATATCAAATTATCACAATGGATAACAATGTATTGTATAAATCATCAATCTTTTTTAAATATTGATGATGTGCTAGTTTTAATCTAGTTCATCATTACGCTTATATAAACTTTTAATTAACAATTAATAAACATCTAATCAAGTTAGATTTAAAATACAATAGCTTTAACAAAACTTGATTAGATGTACTTTTGAGTATGATTTTGCTACAGTATCTACAGTTGAGTATTGATAATTTTGTGATGCTAAATTTTTAGTGACAAAATGATATTTTTAATTATAATCTTACAACATAATTTATTTTTAAAACAGTTTAAACATTATAAAAAATTATAAGCAATTTAATTGTTGTGAGAAATGATGGTTAAATATGTTTAATTTGTTAACAATCTAAGATATTTTTAATTATAATCTTACAACATAATTTATTTTTAAAACAGTTTAAACATTATAAAAAATTATAAGCAATTTAATTGTTGTGAGAAATGATGGTTAAATATGTTTAATTTGTTAACAATCTAATTAAGTATACAAAATGCCGCCATCGATGACCAGATTAACGCCGGTTATAAACTGGGCGTCAGTCGAGGCCAGAAATGCTAGGCTTTGGCCACATCTAACGGCTGTCCAATACGTTAAAGTGGAGTGGCCATGGTCACTTTTGATAATCTATCAGCACTAATAACATCTCTAAACTCATCCGACAGTATGTAACCCGGGCTTAAAATCGAAATTAAAACATGGTTATATAAATAAATGTGCAAGATGCTCTCATAGAGTTAACATTAATGACATTACAGGTACTCGTAATAAATATAATAAGCTATTTATACTTTATAGCGTTAACTCTAATCCTGGGACCCAATTCAACGGCCAATGATTTGGTTATATAATCAAGTGTTGCTTTGGAGGCGCCGTACGGTAGGGGAGATTTACCCTAATGTTAACCAGGATTTAAATAAACAACTTAAAATTTAAATAATTGGATAACATCTTATTTACAGGTCTAAAGGCGGCGATACTAGAGGTGCTAATAATAGTGCCATTTGTGAGCTCCAGGTATGGGACGGCCAGTTGTATGAGTTGCAGACCTGAGCGCACATTAATGCTAAACACTCTGTCAAAAGAGGTAATGAAATTGCGGTCCCGGATGTCTGTCAGCAAACCGATGCCCGCGTTGTTTACCAAAACATCTAACTTTCCATAGGTTTTGATTGTTTTGTCTACAATTTTGGTCAAGTCGTCCGCTTTGGTCACACCGGCTACCATTAATAACGGCTATAATATGTATACAAAACAATTAGTTTAAGATAAATTTACCTAGCTCATGGTTTTGGGCTTACCATTAATCCATTGGGTGATATCCGTTGCACTTCTTGAGCCACTTTCATAATCTCTGTCTCTTTCCTGCCGGTGATCACCACATGAGCGCCTAATATAGCAAACAGTTTGACAATACCCTCACCAATGCCCGACTGGGAACCGGTCACTAAAACTACTTGACCCGTAAAATCTCGTGAGTTTTTCACATATTTGGATTAAGGTTTACCCCACTCGGCAGTAAATTAATTTAATATAATTATTTTTAAAATTAATTTGCCAATTTTATATACAGTATTAAGTTTTAATTAAGTAAAATAACTTTACATAATATGTATATTATAGCGTCTATGATGATGCCAAACAAATTGACACTATTAAGTTAATAGTTAATAGTATTAACTTCGGTATATCTATTTATTAAAAACAAAACTAACCATGTTAAATTAATTCACCTCAAATAATGTAAACATACAAAATTATTGTTTGAAAATCAGTTTATTAGCATTAAAATTAAGAGCCGTGTGTAAATATACCGCCGCCGTCTATAACAATATTAGCGCCGGTTATAAACGCGGCGTCGGGTGAGGCCAGGAATGCCACCCCTTTGGCGATATCCAGCGGTTGACCCGCTCTTCCCAATGGATTATGCGGTGCGAAACTGTTCAACCGTTGCCCTGTTGTTAGACTCGCCGAGGTTTGAGTATAACTTAAGCTACAATTAGTTAACGAAAATATAAATCACAAATTAAAACACAAATAATAATAATAACATAATTACAAAATGTAATTCAAAGACAATATATACTCGATTGTATTGACGCGAATGCCTTTGGGGCCCAACTGCAGGGCCAACACTTTGGTCATCATCTGAACGGCCGCTTTGGCACAACTCGACGCCAAATTGTGCGGATACTAAATATTATTAAATAAAATACAATTAATTAAATACACATGGCTAATGATAGCAAGCTTTTTGAAGGTAAAATTACCGGAATAAGTCCCGAATCGCTACCAATGGCTATAATAGTGCCGTTTGTTTTCTCCAGATAAGGTACCGCCAAATGGTTGAGCTGTACCGACGATCTGAGATCGGTGTTAAAAACAAAGTCCCACGTGTCCATGAGGTTCGGGTCCGTTATGTCAAGGTTGGGATTTACGCCCACATTATTGACCAATATATCTAACTTTCCGTACGCTTTGATCGTTTCGTTCAATAGTCTGTTCAAGTCGTCCGTTTTGGTCACATCGGCCACCACTCCCAACGGCTGGAGGTATTTATATTAATTTATTAATAATTCATTAGAAATACTCAATTAAAACATTACTCACAAGTATTTTATATGGAGATAACGGCTGCAACTCTTTGACAACTTTGTCCACTTCTGGCGCTTTACGTCCGTTGACCACCACTTTAGCCCCCAATACGGCAAACAGTTTGGCGATACCCTCGCCTATACCAGAGCTCGAACCGGTGACCAACACTACTTTGTCGGTAAAATTACGCGATTGTATCACATCTTTGTAGTGTTGAATATCAAAATCGTAAACATTAGTTGCATTTACTATTGATAATAAGGCTAACAATAATAAGCATTTCATTGTCGACTGTTTTATATAATTTATATTAACTTTCAATTAATATTAGTTATAATTTAGTTTGTGAATAATGAGAAAGCAACTTGCTATTTATATAATGTGCCAATTTGTAATTTGAGTTTATTTCAGATTAATGGGATTAACATGAAAGATATGCAACTGTTATTTCCTAATATAATTACTTTAGATAATTTTATTGTTTTTCAAATTGCACTATCCCACAGTAGTATCAAATTATCACAATAGATAACAATATATTGTACAAATTATCAGGGGTTTCTAAATATTGATGATGTGCTAGTTTTAATCTAGTTCATCATTACGCTTATATAAACTTATATATAATCAAGTTAGATTTAACCTACAATAGCTGTAACAGGATCTGATTAGATGTACTTTTGTGCATCATTTTGATAGAAAATCTACAGTACAGTATTGATAATTTTTGATGATGATAAAAATTTAGCGACAAAATGATCTTTTTAGTTATAATAATTTATTTAATTATAAGATTTACAACATAATTTATTTTTAAAAAGTTTAATTATTATAAAAAAAATTATAAGTAATTTAATTGTTGTGAGATATGTTTAATTTGTAGACAATCTAATTAAGTATACAAAATGCCGCCATCGATGACCAGATTAACGCCGGTTATAAACTGGGCGTCAGTTGAGGCCAGAAATGCTACGGCTTTGGCCACATCTAACGGCTGTCCAATACGTTTAAGTGGAGTGGCCATGGTCACTTTTGATAATCTATCAGCACTAATAACATCCCTAAACTCATCCGACAGTATGTAACCCGGGCTTAAAATCAAAAATAATAAATAAAAATTAAAACATGGTTATAAAGAAATGTGCAAGATGCTCTCATAGAGTTAATGACATTACAGGTACTCGTAAAAATATAATAAAATATTCATACTTTATAGCGTTAACTCTAATCCTGGGACCCAATTCAACGGCCAATGATTTGGTTATATAATCAAGTGTTGCTTTGGAGGCGCCGTACGGTAGGGGAGATTTACCCTAATGTTAACCACAAATTAAAATTTTATATAATTGAATAACATTTTATTTACAGGTCTAAAGGCGGCGATACTAGAGGTGCTAATAATAGTGCCATTTGTGAGCTCCAGGTATGGGACGGCCAGTTGTATGAGTTGCAGACCTGAGCGCACATTAATGCTAAACACTCTGTCAAAAGCGGTAATGAAATCGCGGTCCCGGATGTCTGTCAGGGAACCGATGCCCGCGTTATTTACCAACACATCTAACTTTCCGTACGTTTTGATTGTTTTGTCAACAATTTTGGTCAAGTCGTCCGCTTTGGTCACATCGGCTACCATTGATAACGGCTATAATACATAGAAACAACAATTAGTTTAAAGTAAATTTACCTAGCTCGCATGGTTTTGGGTTACCATTAATCCATTGGGTGATAACCGTTGCACTTCTTGAGCCACTTTCATAATCTCTGTCTCTTTCCTGCCGGTGATCACCACATGTGCGCCTAATATAGCGAACAGTTTGACAATACCCTCACCGATGCCCGACTGGGAACCGGTCACCAAAACTACTTTACCCGTAAAGTCTCGCGAGTTTTTCACTTCATAATAATCTTTATACTTATCATTTATTTTATTTGATATTAAACTCTGTTTACTTATAGCAGTTACTATTGTTAAAAATGTTATGATTAATATAATTTTAAACATTATAATAATTTTAATAATTGTGTGTTTATCAAAAATTTTGTTTAAAAAGTTTTATGTTTTTTCAATGAAAGTCAAAGTTTATATAGTTTTAATTTTTGTAGAGAGAGAGAGAGAGAGAGAGAGAGAGAGAGAGAGAAATAAGCACTTATAGATCGCACAGCACTTGTGTGTCGGGAGAGAGAGAGAGAGAGAGAGAGAGAGAGAGAGAGAGAGAAATAAGGAAGAGATTATGTAAAAGTAGTAAACAATAATAACAAAATTTTTACAAATACTATTAAAAAGCAAATGCTAACAAAAACAACCAGATTAATTTATTCAATCATAAACGTAATAATTTTAACAAACAATAGTTGACATAAAAGTCTAGTAAACAAATATAAAAACTGAAACTTTTGTAATAACTTTTGTTAGATTAAATAAATATGTCTATATAAAATAATTCAATTAAAATGCATAATTTATAAATTTTATTTAATTACTAAAAACATGCCTTGTTAGATTAAGTTAATTACAAAACAAACAAATCATACAATTGATAATGTTTTACATTACATCACATAATCACTGGCTTGGGTTACATTAGATTGTTGAGTGGTATTACCCTGTTGTTGTCCCTGTTGCTGGCCCTGTTGTTGTTGACCATTATTATGGATATACTGTTGACCACCAGTGAGGGCCTTTAACAGGCGGACAACCAGTTTCTCGGCCTGTAATCTGGGCGGCGACTATTAGTCTAAAGGTTATGATTAGTATTCTGGCCAAGGCCGCTTCAACCATATCCTCAACAGCCGGTGCGGAACTAACCTGTTACCATCGGTGCCGTTACCGGCGATGGTATGGTTCCCGATGGCGGCCAAAACGCACAGTTGGTTCTCCTCGTCCTCCCCGTCCTTACAATCAGTCACTCCATCGCAAAACTGCTCAAAACGTATGCATTTCGGCCGAAATCCCGACGATTTGCACGAATACAAGGCTTTACCGCAGCCCAAGAGGTCTAGCGGTGCAGCCGCGATGTCCACGGCGTCGGGTTGGGTGCCATCGACCGGTGCGGCCGATATATAGCCGAAGATCGCCAGTGAAATGATTGCTATTTTGAACATTTTTGTGTTTGTATTGCTTTTTTGACACAAACTGTAAGCGATTGTATAATGAAGTGATTATTTATAAAGTTTTTTGCACTGATTTTTATGCATTTTATCAAATTATTGAAGTTTTCATAATTAATCTATAAATTTCACGATTGGTCTGCAATTAGTGGTCGACATAATGACACTTAAAATTAATACAAACTTGAGTACTGTATTTACTTGAGCTAAAGTGTTAAACCCTATGCCTAATAGAGTGCCCGTAATCTATAACACTTATGTAATGTTTTTGTAATTACCCATGATAATATTTAAGTATTTTATTCTTACGTCCGTTTTCTTAGGAAAAATGCTATTATTAATCAATCAAGTTCATTTCTTGGAGTCAATCACGTAATACTTAATTAATATGTAGACTTCATGTCTCCAAACATTGTGCCCGACAAGTGCTAAACAAGTTTAGCAAATAAAATACAACAGATATTTTGTACAGTATATAAAAAATAATTAAGTTAATTAAAATTCTCCCTGATAAAATTTGCATTGCGCTATATGTGGTTGTGATCCAATGTAATGAGTCATTACTAATGACTATCACTGAATCCCAATTGTTGACATTTAATGAAGAAACATTATAATATACAGAATAATTCCTTAATTCCTATAATGTAGAATAATTCCTCATATTAACACATGATGAAATAACGCATTATATAATGTATAAAAAATATTTTAAATTATAACTATGTCTTTAATACGATGTACACCTCACACCAATTAATTCGTGACAAGCACATTTTGTGGGAGACCTCTTAGCCCATAAAAATAATATTTTATTTGACTCAAGATTGTCAGTATAGTTGCATTAAATATTCTTACAATACAATATTTAACCATAAAATTACAATATTTAATCATTATTTTCCAATTATTATTGAAGGTGTCTGTATTTGTTCATAAAATGTACTAGATCTGCATTGGGTCACAACTGTACTAAGAGTGTCTATTGTCGAAATTCAAAGAATTGATTCAACATGATCTAGAATAGTTGTGTATTATAATAGCGTAATAATACTTAAAAACAATCATCACATGATGAAAACAACTTCAACTCAATGCTTAATAAATAGCGCTTAGGTTTATCACAAAACCACTTGAGAGCACACACTTTAACACCGATTAACAAATTTATTTCAAATCCGATAATCAATATAAAAACCGTGCACTTTATGTCCATAAAAATTACTTACAAATTGCACTACAATTGAGATTCAAGTCTTGAAAAAGCAAAACAAAACTCACAAAAATGCTGTCAAAGACATTAATCATCTCAATAGCGGTGATGGGGTATATATCGTGCGCCCCTATGGAGGGCATCCGTACCCTTCACTACCCGATGGTGTCCGCAGCCATCGCTGGCCAACTGGCGGACAACTCGTCGGCCACTAACGATACGGCACAGTTGGCGGACAACCAAAAGAGCAAGGACAATTCGTACACTAACTTCGCCGGCACCGGCTTTATGTTCAATATCGGTAATCTGATCATCAGTGGCCACTCAAACGTACGCCTCTTTGACCAACAGGCAGACAATGTGGCGCTTTTGGGCGGCCGACAGAACTTCACCAACAATGGTCAACAGCAACAAGGTCAACAAGGTGGTGGGCAACAAGGTCAGGACTCCACTCAACAGGCTAACCAAACTCAATCTTCGTTGAATGTCTATTGATTATGCAAACTACAAGTAATTTTTAAATTAAATGCCATGTTATTAATTGATCAACGTAAGTTTGTTAATTAAATAACATTTTGTATTTGTGTGTTTGTAAGAGTTGTCACAATTAAACATTTTTAATCAGCAGTAATTATTTTAATTTTATTATCAATATTG